AAGAAGTACAATACAAGACAAGCTCAAGTTTCATTTGTGGGCCGTATTCCATTATACTTTTTTTAATTAGCTGAGGGCCGATTCAAAATGGCCCGCGGGCCGCATTTGGCTACCGGGCCGTAGTTTGGACACCCTTGCTGTAAAGGGATTGTATCAGAAGAAAAGCTGGTTGGAGCTCAGCACAGAAATTGGGTTTGGAGTCCAAACATGCTGGAAGATACCTGGCAGTACAGCAACATACTTTACATCCTACTGTCTTCCAGGAGACAGAGAGGGGGGGGGGGGTGCTGTAGCATGTTGCACTGAGTGGGTGTGGAGGCGCAGTGGGCGGATATGCTCCGTGTCGCACATCCAACAATTTAGCATGCAAGAGAGGGCGAGCAGATGAGTAACAGCGAGAACCACGCAGAGTGTTGCCAACCTTCTTGGAAAAGGCAGCAGCTTCTTCCTTCTCTTGTTGCTGTTTCGGGGCAGGCTGTCACTGAGGCGGTTAAACTATTGAGCAACAGTTGGATGAACAGAAACCTGCTGTGTATATTGTTCTTCTGTGATTGCATGAAATTCCCCTCTAATTGCTCTTGTTCCTCAACACAGGCCAACGGCTGATATTGAGAACATCTGAGAGCTTTCAATGTGTCTGTTAGTGTGTGTGTGTGTGTGTGTGTCTGTTAGTGTGTGTGTGTGTGTGTGTGTGTGTGTGTGTGTGTGTGTGTGTGTGTGTGTGTGTGTGTGTGTGTGTGTGTGTAGGCTACTTAGTATGTGTGTGTATAAAAAGTTGGAGGGAAGCCTGGAAAATGAGGCCGTGAGGTTTGACAGGTTGGAAAGCGGATTGTAGCTTTCACCTGTGACTTCACATAGGCTAGGTAATTGAGCTTTTAACAGAATCCATAAAGCTGCCATATGTGAGCTATACACACATCAGATGTTGTTACTGCAGATAGAGACCCCGAGGAGCAGCAACACGTTCTCACTCCCAACCCGTCACATGTTGACGGTCGGTCAGGGACCCTCCCCGTCACTCTATTACGCACAGGGTACCCCTTCCGTTTTCAACGGGCAGGGCGTCCCATAGACCTTCATAGACCTCCCATAGCGTTGATAGATGCCATGAGAACGCTCCCCGACGGTCGGTTGTTATTATCAATATTAATATAATAATTATTTATTTTTTAATAGTCACAGGAGGGGTCACAGACATAAGACCAGTTGTTAAATAAAGCTCTTCTGACCTTAGCTGTCATGTGGGTATATATTAATGCTGCCCATTATGGGCACAAGCAATTTTCACCCATTTATTAATTATATGTTTTAAATTTGAGTGTTTCCTATTCCCTAAACCTCCAGGGATGTACACAGTTTAATACTGGCAACTTCTTATTATGGGAAATACGAAAATGTCTTTTAAAACTACAATTCCCAGTAGAGACGTGCCATAGAACATGTTGCGAAACACACAATAGCCAGCATGTGTAGTTCTGGGGCCGGGGTGGGGGAGGGGGGGACGGGGTGGACCCGTTCAAATCCAGTTTTGGACAGTCTGCCGTGGTTCCATCCCATTTCAAAGTGTTATTCGACGCTCGGATGAGCTGCTCCGACCCTCGGTCCTGACAGACTCCAACTTGTGTTTATTAATCAAACAAATAAATAAACACAAGGATAATTATGTGTTATTGTTGAGTAAATAACAGTGTGTGGTTTAGAAAATAATACAAAATTAGATGGAAAAAACGATGAAACAATACAGATTTCAGTATTCTGAGCCCCTCCTCTCCTCATAACTGATGGCAACAAAAGTCCTACATTATTCAATTAAAATAAAGAAGTAAAAACAATAAGTGTGGATTGATATTGAGTAAGAAAAAGGTTGATAAACGCTGTGAGAATGGATCTGCGGAGAGCATTTCGCCACGATCCCAACTCGTCTATTACCAGCGTTCAGGGAGCTCTATGCAAGTCAATGGGACTCCCAGTCCCTGCCCGTTGAAAACTGACTCTCAAGGGGTACCCTGTGCGTAATAGTGTGACGGGGAGGGGCCCTGACCGACCGTCAACATGTGACGGGTTGGGAGTGAGAGCGTGTTGCTATGGGACGCCCTGCCCGTTGAAAACTGACTCAAGGGGTACCCTGTCCATAATTCCGTGACGCCTCCCCGTCACGGAATTACGGACAGGGTACCCCCCTGACCGTCCGTCAACGTGTGACGGGTTGGGAGTGAGAACGTGTTGCGAGCAGAGTCGCTGAAGGAGGTGTTGGAGGAGACTGACAGTAAACATGGTGACATTCATTCGAACCGTGTCTATCACAACTGGACCTTCTGTAGACACACAGACCCCCCCCGTTGTTTCTTTATGATGACTAAACTGGGTTTTTCACATTAGAAATTTGGGCAGGAAAAGCACAGGTGTAAATAATAAAATCAGTAATGGCTAAATGCCACTTCAGTTTCAGGCTGACTAACGCACCTCAATAGAACTGAGTCACCTTTAATGTTGTTAGTAACAAATGTGTTTTTCGTGCTATGACAAGTCATGTGTCGGCTGGGAAGCTGCTGTTCAGTTTTTGTTTTTCCATACAGTCATCAAATCACTTCTTTACTTAATTGGTTTATAGCCAGGAGTGCACATAACTTTTTTGCCCTGGTTCTCAAAGGAGCACCTGGAGATGTTGCTTGGTGCTCATCCTTAAAATGAAATAAACCGTAACTTTTGAGGGGGTCTTGACTTTATTTGCCAGACACACGCGCTGAACACAAATGCAGAGGTGAACACAGAACACACATGCAGAGGTGAACACAAGACAACATTAGCACGACCAGTAATCCTACAAGCTGTCATCACTACCCTCCTGACTGTTCTCCTCACTGTCAGACATGGTAGCTGATGATGTAGGCCTACTTCTTTCTCTCTGGTTGAGTCTGCGATTAGCTGCTTGCATCCACAAGTCAACAGCTGGTTTTGGGTCGAAAGTCTCTGTTGTCATCTTAGACAAGTGGATGTAATCAAATAAGTATGTGAACATAACCAATAACCTACCATAGCCAATAACAAATGAATGTAACTTATTTTAGTTGTTCATATCTTAACATTTATTTATGCATTTTTTTTTAAATCTTTCCAGTTTTAAAGGATATTTTTGGTTTACTGTCCTATAGTATACATTGGAATGATTTCAAACCTGTTTATCCCAATAATTATAAAGGAGTGCCTTGGAAATATGTGTTTACATAAATTGTGATCAAAACGTTTGAGACCCACTGAGATAACGACTAAAGTGAACTATCTAAACACTATCTAAACACAGTCCCTTACCTCACTGAGCTGTAGTATCAGCCTCTCCCTCCACATTATTGTAGAAACATCTTCTTCTTATATCCGTTAGAGCAGCTAGCACCAGATTCTAATAACAACAGCGCCGGAACCGGTGCACCCTCGCTCGCTCACTCGCACTTTGGCTGTGAGCTGCGGGTGCCAGATAAGCCAACATCCCCCATTTTCATCACTTACAGCGCCCATTGTACAGGGCAAATAAAACGTGTAACCGGGGTGAAAAGGGTGTTACATTTACTTCATTATGAATATTGTTACATCAAGGCCGAAAATTAGGATGAGCCCCAACGGTCAAAAAAGTTGTTTCCCTCCCAGCGCAGCGCCTCCACAGATCTGGCGCCCTAGGCGAACATATAACGCCAGTGCTACGGGCCGGCCCTGAGTTCATATGCAACTCGCAAATATCTTTATCTCTTTTCTCTTCTCCCTTTTCTCTCTCTCTCTCTCAGTGTTGGTACGCAAATGCGCCACCTGCGCACCAGTTATGTGCAGCCCTGTTTATAGCCCCATACAACAATGCTAAGACTAATTGCGACCTTAACGTCTTTTTACTCTGTTTCTGCAGTCATTTCTCATATTTAACCTGAATAAGAGACTACATTACAGATTACAATAATTATAGATAAAAGAAAGGTAATATAGGAATAAAAGAAAGGAATAACAATCTTAAAACATCAACCTATTTTAGTTTGTTCTTCTTACCTACACTATTTATCTTCTGTAATGTCCTTAAATGTTTATACCAACCCCACATAGGGTTACTCACCCCAGGTCGAAACCACTCAGCTTCAGTATGCCTCTCTTTCTGGGTACTTTCAGAGGTGGGAGAAGGTACTCAGATCTTGTACTCGAGTAAAAGTAGAAGTACCAGAGTGAAGAAATACTCTGTTACAAGTACAAGTCCTGCATTTAAAAAAATTGCTCAAGTAAACGTAGAAAAGTATACGCATAAAAATATACCTAAAGTAGGCCTACTCATTATGCAGATTGTTCCATTTCAGAATAATATAGATGTTATGTTTTGATTATAATGATTGATCATTAAAGTGTTATAAAAGCTGGTAAAGGTGCAGCTAGTTTTAATGACTTTGTATACTGCAGGGTAGCTTGTGAATTTACTCCAGGTGGAACTAAAGTCTGATTTAACACTTGATTTATATTTCACATCTTTAATCCAAATCTGCAAAGTAACTAAAGGTAATAAATAAATGTAGTGGAGTAAAATTACACCATTTACCTCCGAATTGTAGTGGACTAGAAGTACAAAGTAGCAAAACATTGAAATATTCAAGTAACGTATAAGTATCTCAAAATTGTACTTATGTACACTTGAGCAAATTAACTTATATATACACTATATACACTATAATAATAATAATTTACCACAGAAAATAAATCGAATCATTTGAATACTGAAGATGGTGTGCTCATTGTTATTGATAGTAACAGAGTCTTAAATTACTTAAAGGGACTCACCATTAATCCATCTGATCATTAGAGCGTAATGGCCATACCACAAGTCTGTAGAAGTTAGTATTATACTGCCCTCTACTGGGCTATAAATGACTATGATGTTCACATTGTGTTCACATGCAGCCAATACATGGTGTGATTAGAACAGTACTACGGTAAATTGGCAGGTACCATGAACAAAACAAAAGGCAAGAAAAGTATTCTGACTTTTAGAGTTTATTTGTTTAATATTTATTTATATCACAAAAAGTCTTCAAAATGCAGACTAGGAACTTTATATAAACTGTACACAAAGCAAGGCACTATACACTGCAGGGTTTAAAAATCACATACATTTCAACATCCCTCTATCTCTGCCGCTTATCAAGCATGTATACTCTCTTGGAACTGAAACAATAGTGACACTATAATAATAAAGCATCATTTGATTTGTAAATGGCAAATGGTGATCTGTACAGCACGAGATAATTCTGTAATATCCAGTATTTATCAACATATGACACAAAGCTTTTCAACATTCACAATACAGTTTATTCAATCATTTTCAGCTCAGTGAATATTCAGGAAGCTTTAAAAAAAATTCCTATATGAATTTGATAAATATAAATTATTTGCAATTCACAAACATACATAGAGATTAAACAGAGAAGTGTGTGTTGAACAGGCTGACAGGCCTGCTCTCACAATGTAAGGGCACTGGGCTGTTCTGCATATGGTACATATCTACATACATTGACATTAAATTCAATTAAAAGGCCTTGCACTCTCTGCCTATGGACGTCATTTGAGGCTTTAGCTTCATGAGAGTGACTTTAGAAAAGAGCAATCACTCAGAGGTGCATCCGCCTACATGAGTCTCATACCTATACAACCAAAATACCAAGATGGAAGTGAATGTGCAGCAGGGGAAGCGGGCCCTTCTCTTGTTCACTTATCCTTCTTCCATACCTTCACTGCTCCCTCAGTCCCTCCTCGACCCTCCGTTACATGAGAGGAGAACAACTTCCTGTCTTCAGGTCATCAACCGTTTAGAAAAGTCCTTTGGATTTCTTCACATTCACCTGCTTCCAGCCGGGCAAAGCCCCATACTCCATCCTGTTCATGTCCAGGGCTTTCTGTCGGAGCAGCCACACACAATCAGTCACACCATTGTTCACTGTACAGACGTTCAAAAGTGATCTTCTCAGAACACACTCATGCATCAGTGAGATTTAAAACACAGCCCTCATTCTTTATTTTACATCTGCAGTATAATCTCCATGGACATATCTCCATGATTCAGTGTCCACAGCAGCTCAAAGGGTGTGAGTGAACAACATGCTAATCAAAAGATGGGTTAGAAAAAAAGTGATGATGATGAGTGGGATAGAGATAGTTCATGGTTGAGTTGAGTGAGGATGCTGTGCAACACTCCAGGTCATCCATGCTCATGTCATACGACTCACCTTCCCATGAGCCCCTGAACCCTGGAGGTTGGGATGAAGGAAGGAAAAGGTTCACATAAAGAAAAGAAAATGGCGAAAGCATGGCAGAACAAAATGGGAGACAAGATTGTAAGGGCAAAGAGGGAAAAAGCAAGGAACATACGGGACATCTGAAAAAGCAGAATGATGCATCTTTCGCCATAGAGTTGGAGAGAAGATCTAAAATATGCCTTTAACCTCACAGTTTTTCATAACAAGAAAGATTAAAGTCACATTTGACTCAACATATTATAAGTTCTATGGGGTTAAAGTCTGTCATCTTTCAACTTATTTTATTGTCATTTCCACAAGGATGCATTGGCAATTCGAAGAGTGTGAAACAACACCTGTCTTATCATTTTAAGGTGCAAAGTACAGTATGTTTTCTGTACTTTAAAACAGTACTTATTTGACTTTGTAGCTGCTATCCGTTTCATTATGTTAACTAGCTAGCTGCTAACTTTTACTGGCTGTCATTCGGTGCTGGGCAGTTGGTGTAAAGAGAGTTAATTTGAGCTTTTCAGCCACTTGCTGTAGATAAATATTCAGTTCAGAGGAGCAGAACACTCAAACAGTACAGGTTGTGGATCAGAAAAAACATAAAACTAAATAAAAAACACTGAAGAGCTAGAGGGAACTGCACACATGTTGTCCTGCTAAAGGTTTTCTCTTTTACTCATGTATTGACCGACATGATAGTTAATATCTTAAAGAAGTCCCTTTTAACAGTTTCTTACCTCGAAGTCTTCATCAGAGAGGTAGACCTCGAGGCGCAGAGGGTCCACGCCCTCAGGCAGCGGCCGGGCCAGAACCTCTGCCAGCGGGTATTTGGTCTTACACAGCCTGGCTAACACATCCTCCACCAGGATGATCTGGTTACACACCTCAGCCTCCTGACAACACACACAACAAATATATCATTTTTCAATCAAATAAGGAAGCTGGATAGTGGACAACAAATGTAATTAGGAAATCAATGAGACATAATGGCTTGCACCTGGAAAAATAAGTCTCTTTTTGTACAATAAGTGCTTGTTTTTCAGTACAGTGTATACACTAATGGCTAAAGGAAGGCACTGTGGGCAACACTGTTTAATATCAGATGATGTGGCTGGGAGTAATGAGATAATATGATGGGATGCACACACCCTCTCAGTGATCTCAGCGATGTCCTCTCTGTGCTCCCAGCTGGGGAACATGTTGGTGAAGGTGAGCGGCTCCAGACCGGCGTGGATCAGATATGCTTTGGGAGGCTTCTTCTCATTCTTTTCTGTGGATCAAAACAATGACAGAGCAGCTGTTTTACCAAGGGGAGTTCATGTTCATCATTTTCAATTTAACTAATTTGTTTTAAGATAATCTGAAACTGCCTGATGCTGAAAGAAGGAGCTAAATGTTGCATCATACACTACAAGAAATTGTTTTAAGTAGTTTGATGTGTCTAATAATAGAAGTGTATACCTCTGCAGTACTGCAGCACCGTCTCCATGGCACACTTCCTGTCAGAGTCCCAGCGGATTCGGGCTGAGCCGGTGCTTTCACTGTCCTGAGGCCACCAGCCCTGCCACAGGTACACTTCATGGTGATTGTCCACCAGGAACAAGGCTGAAAATCCAGAATGAAAACAAGATGAGGACTAACAGAGAGTTTTTAGGTTCAGGATACATTTAAAAAAATCATGTTATGGTTTACTTGCTTGTCCTATTGGGGAAAAACACACATACATGTATAGCATCAATCAACATGAACGTCTTCAGCACACATTGATGGATTGATATTCCCGATAGAGCAACGAGTCTTAGCTGCACACACACTTTCTCACTTTTACTTAAAAAGGCTGATATTCATTTATTATATGATGGTATATATGCAACAAAATGTCCAGCAAGGACATGCCGACGATATGTTTTAGGTGATTTCTAAACATTGATAAGCTTATTTTAATAGTAAAATGTTCCTCTCAGGAAATATATCAGTCACAATTATTTTATAAACCAAATTCAAGAGTTTAAAAATAAATAAAATTGATGATCTGTTAATTTATCAAATAAATATCTACACATTCTTATCAAATCTCCAAACACTCAGACGTGGATTTGATTAAAGAAATCCAGTTGAATTGGGCTTTAGTATGGATTATTTAGTAAAATGACTTAGATTGAGAAATATTTGAAGCTTTGTTGTTATGTAAATCAACTTTGAATATAAAAAGCATCCAGTAAATAAAAAGTTTGTATCTTGACATGTGCATTGATGTGTACCTGGCTGAGAGTCTGAATAGAGGTCCTCCTGCAGGAAAGGCATAGAGTTGACCAGCTTGGGGTCTCTGGCAGGGTAAAGGAACTCCACAGCTGCAAACTCCCCTGAGCTGCTGCTCAGCTGGTACAGACGAGGAGAGAAGTTAAACCTCCCGGGGTCTGGGGGTCAAAGGTCAACCACACACACATAAACATTTCATTACACTATCCATAGGTGTTTACAGTAAAGAAAAACAAGTTGAAAATCACTCATTGGGTTTCATGTACTTACCTTGCAGCATGCAGTCGTATGCTTTCCTGTCCCTCCTGCCGAGGGCTTCCCAGAATCCCGTGGGCTCCGCTCCCTCTTCACATTCCCGTATGGTCACCTTGCTGCTGCTGTGGAGGCCTGTTTCCAGAGGACAGCTGCACAAGAGCAAACGTGTCAAAACATCAGAAATGGATTTGGAAAAAGAAGTTTCAGGAAACTGCTTTGATTATTTGTTGGCAGTCAAAGTCCAGTAAAACAGAAGTTTGAATTTCACCTCTGGTATCACATTGAGTAGTGCTGATACTATGCCAAACCAAATTCCACTCACTTTTCTTTCATTTTGTTAGCGGCGGTACGTGCCACCTCCTTTGAGTGTGTCTGAGACTTGCAGCCGTGCCACAGGTAGATGAGGGCCTGGCTAACACTCAGCATCACCATGGAGACCCTGGAGCGCAGGCTGCTGCAGTGACAGGCCACCTCCAGCAGGTGGCCCTCCACCTCCGCCTCCCCGCGCACAGTGTACAGACGCCAGTCACCTGGGGGGAACAGGGGCAGAGTGAGAGGTAAGAAATAAGGATACATTTTAGGGCATTTAGCTTATTATGTACATGGAGACAACTCAGTTATTTGAGGTGTGGGAAATAAAGAGTCCCTGAGAGTTTCTGTGCGAGTGTTTATCCCTCAGGGTTGTTTTTATACTTGTAATCCAATTTCTCCCTAAGCTACAGCACAGTTCTCATACATACGAGACACTCATTATGGGCAGATGATGAATTTATGACTGCTACCGAAGCGATCATTAGTGTTAACTCAGTTCTAAGCAGCCATTGTGAGTCTTTTCCATTAAGAATGGTTGGAGATCATGTATAATTCAGAAAATATGGACCTCTAAATACACAATTTGCTTATTAGGCCTATTCCAAAATGATGGAATAGCGGCAGAGAGCAAACCGTGTGTTAGTCTTGATGATGAATGACTATCTTGAAGCGGTTATGTGGGCTTACTCTGTGAGTTTTCCTCTTCTTCTCTCCTCCCTGAGTGGACGACCATCCCTCCTTTGAAGCACTGCAGGAAACACGGAGGCTCCTTACCCTGCTGCACCTGAACCTGGAGGAAGAGGAAATGAGAGGGGAGTCAAGCTTATGCAGTTAAATGTGCAAAACATTGACAGACAAAGAAAAGAGACTTGTTATCTGCTCTCTTTTTTGTACCTGTGCTCCCCGCTCCTCGTCCAGCTCCACCGTCATCAGCGCCGAGGTTCCTTTCTCGCTGACGGTGGAGTTGCGGCCCTGCCAGAAGAAGTAGCAGCACTTCTCCTTTCCGGCCCCCGCCGTCTTCTGCTGATCCGGTTTCTGTCTCCTCCCAACTGATGAGAAGAGTTTGTTAGATTGTCTGACTAATAACTGACTACAGCCCTGGCAAAAGAAAATGCTGCATACGTATTATAATAAACTTTACCTATGGTTTTGGCCTAAATAAATCAGTTTACACAAATTTATTTATTTGGACTAAAGTTACAGTTAAAGATACATTTCGAGCATAATATCTGAAAAATGTGCTTTTGTGACTAGTGATGAACAAGATATTATAAGGAAGTTATTGATACTGTAATTCAAACTGGATAATCTGACACATTGGAAGACTTCTCTCAAGAGTTTTATATTTTGCATACTCATTATAGGAGAGGCATTTCAACAACAAAGTAAAGACCTGTCTATATTATATCTACAGCAACGGTAGAGATACAGCAACAAACATACAAAAATGGGGTCATCTAGTGTTGTGGCTTTTGAAGAGTGCATGATCTTATTAGTAGCATATTCAGCCTAAAGATATTTGTCTTCGAAGTTTGGAAAGAAACTGCCTGAGACTGTATAAGTGGTTGTGCATATGTAACAATTTAAAATCCTAACCTGCAGTGCTGACCATGTACTTCCACTTCATTACGTATGTGTCACCCTCGTGAAACTGGCCGATGCTCTGGAGCGGTATGCGGCTGTAGTCGAACTCCAGGATGTGCCACACCTCCACCGCCAGCGTGTTGATCTCGTAGCTCCTCCACTCCTCTGCCTTCACCAGGCCATAGCCACGCCCCACACTGAACCCGTCCAGTTTGGTGGAGACGGGCACCTGGAGCAGAGGCAGCATCAGAGAGGCGTCGTACGCACGGCGCTGATCAGAGGCAGACTGCTCCTGGGGTAAAGATCAACATGAAGTATGGAGTTAAGAATGATATATTATATTTTTCTCTCTGTGGCATTTTATCCTAGTAATAAGACTTTTATAATACTGAAGTACTTTTGGATACCTTTTGATCGGCGTTGTGGTCGTTGTTTCTTGTCGGGCTTGGTGTTTTCTTGGAGTCGCTCCAGTCAAGGAACTTCTCTTTGAAAAGGGTGGTTTCATTGTGTTGAGTCAGTCTGCCGAACACGGCCCAGTCAGGTCGGCCCTGGCCTTTCCTGCAGGTAAAGAGGATTCAGTTCAGTACAAAAATACTAGTACTTCAACTGACTATTCTCTATTTTCTGTTCTAGTATTAGTAGTCATCTATGGCATTTTGTGGCATGTTTTTGTTACTTTAAGTTTATGAAATCTCCTGAGCCACAGACAGAGGTGTAAACACACTCTTGTTCTATAATTATGTTACCGTACTTAGGTATAAGTGTGTTGCACTCTCCCGGGTCGAGCGGGTTGATGTCACAGTTTGTGTAGTCGAACGTGCCGTTCCACAGGTGCTTCGCCAGCTGGAAGGCCACCTTCCTCTGTGCCAGCGTCACTTCCTTTCCATGCCATATATACATCTCACTGCCAAAGTCAAACACCAAGACCTGCATAGAAGCACAGAAACAAAAAAAGGTGTAATTTCTTATATTACCACTGGATGGCACTAAACTACTAAACATTTGAACCCTACACATAGTGGCTTATTTACAGCACAACATATAAAAGATACATTTAGATTCGAGTCAGGTTGTCTGACCTCCTTTGGGTTCAGCAGGGAACAGCGAGGCACTTTGGCCCAAAAGTCATCATCTGGGACCAATTTGTCATCCATCAGGCGATAGATACAGTTTGTCTCAACAACGGCACTCTCGTACAGCTCGTCTTCATCTGGCGTCCCAGCAGCTGCAAGAAGAAAGACCAGGCCATTAGCTTGCATTGCTACAGAATCTAGTTTCTCAAAGTGTGCTTTATGCCAGTTATAATGTCTTACACTGATAATTGGACTGCCCTCCCAGAATCTTCCAGAAATCCTTGGCAGTATGGCTGTTTGTGCTGACGCACTCCTCGATGACCTGGACATAGTTAGCTCTGCACCCTAAATCTCTCTTTCTCTGGATGAAGTTTGACAACTCTGAAGCCTGAAAGAATGACAGAGAACACTTGTATTACATTAAACCAATGCATTCTGGTATATCAAAAACACAGGGTTTCTGTGCTTTCAAAGGCAGACGCACCATAAAATGTGAGGTACATAAATCTATGCATTTTTTAGGTTAACTTTTGGAGGACACAACCCCATTACTTTGAGGGGAAAAGTTCAAGTTCATTACTCAGGAACAAGAGGTTGCAAACTTCAATGACCTAAATTCAAACAACCCCTCGTAAATAATGAGGGCCATGACTCAGAGCTTTCCTCTGTGTCCAATTGAGGTCAGTGTTCTGTTGAGCCAATCACAGGTCATCAGAACACTGTACTGTAAGCTTTGTTTTGTGTCCATTTCCTGCAACAACCCTCAGACACACACATTTCCTTTCTGTCAGCACACACTTCCTGTGCCACCATTGCTTCCTCCCAAGGCTGTGTTTACATCCTGCACGTGAAGGCCTACCCAGATTACACCCTTGCTCTGCTTTTGTTGACTGAAAGTTAAGTCTCAATCTAGCTATTTTTGCTTTTGTTATTTTGCATCCCTCAAAAGCAGGACCCACCTTGTTCTTCTCTATGACGTTGGCAAACTCTCCAGTCCAGATGAAGCAGTGGTGAGGTGTGATGAGTAGGAAACAATCTCCGCTGTTCAGGGAGGACGCTCTGGGCTCCACCAGCCTGGTCTGGACATGCCGTCGGCCTGGAGTTACATGGGCAGGAAAAAACAACGCAGGAACAGGTGGCTATCAGTGACAGCTCTGAATATCACTGTCAGCATGCCTGCATTATCATACAAGGTGTTGGGGCAACAACATGCCAGCCATCACCATTTGACCCTGAACATGTATGTACACGTGTCCACCTTGTCAAGGACCCACGGTTTGCAATCTACATTATATCATACATTTGTCTCATTGACAATCAATCCCATTGGCTATTCAGGTGTTTCCATCAGATGCGATTCTTAAGCAGGTAGCTAACTTCCCAACAAAGTGATACCCCCCATGTGGTGGATTTGTTCCGGATTACACACAGTGGGGTTTTTGGAAGAGGATCATCCCTGGATAGTTTGAGGTGACCTAAGGAGAATGATTTAGAGCAACAGCTGTCACCAACAGACGTATAAAGGAGGAGTAACGACACCGAAATAGACCAACTCATGTATCTTATTTTAGATATCCTCTCGAAAGGAGGCATCCTCCAAAGCTTTGTGTAATGCAGTAGCTATTTGTCCTTCTATACTCGTGACAACTTAATGTAACTTAGGTAAAGATGCTTCACTATTGCCTCACTACCAATATATTCCTATGTCTAACAAAATATACAACCTCATTTAAAAGATTGGGAAAAAGTAGACAGATGTTTTGGAACCCTTTCTGATTGGCTGGCTTGTTAGCATAGTAAACATGTTGCATCTTGTAGCCTTTCTGTTCAAAGAGGCTGACCTCAATTTACTTTTGTAAGGATGGGGCTTTCAATGGAAGACTGAGGTATTATTTTGCACAACATGATGGTTTATGTGCCCTCTTAAAACAAGACCTTGTAAGCTACCCTATTAGAAACCTTGTTGTGGAAGTTAAAAGCAAACAATAATCATTTTGAATGTGTTGGATTGAATTCAGCTCTAAGCTAACCTAATGATAGTTGTGTAGCTCTAGTTGCCTAATTCACTAGATGTTATAGTGCCATCATCAGGTCAAGGGCCTGTTTGAGGTGCAGATGCACCAGTCTGTGTTTGTTTGGAGCTGTCTTTTGGTGCAACTGACCTTTGACCTGTAAGAGCATGAGCTTCTTGTAAGGCACGGCGCTGTTGTTGGACATCTGCTCAGAGATGTTGACGCTGCGCAGGTTGACACTGCTGAAGTTCTCCTTGCTGGCCAGTCCAGCCAGAGCCACATCAGAGAAACCAGAATTCTTATTCACTGTAGTGGACACAACAGAGCACAGAGAGGGGACATGAGACTCACAGAAACATAACAAAAAACAGTACAACATTAAATCATTACATTTGTGCTCCTATACACAGATGAGACAACAGCTAAATGACCTTGTAAGCCTGGTCTTTATATGACAGCAACTGATATAGAACACTCCATACACAAGTGTTTGTATTGCTGTCAGAGGAGGTGAAGGAGGACGTTATGGGAGTATCATGACATTGAATTTGTGGGTCATCTCTCACAACAAGCTACAGACTACGTCAGGATTTTGAGCGCTGCTCTGTACAATGACAGGAAACTGACTCCAACTCAGATGTACTGTAGGTCAGTATGAGTCAAAGCAACACATGGTGTATTCCTAAGTAGTCTTATGCATTTCAAGCTCCTAATCTATCCCCACTCACTCTTTTCAGTCTTCATCCTCTTGCTTTCCAGCAAGCCGATGTTGAGCCTCTGCTCTGTGTACTCGTGTCTGATGTCCTGCCTGGCAGCCAGCATCTTCAGAGGGTTCCTAGATGACTGGACGTTACGTGTCGGGCGCACAGCTCGTCTGTGCTGCACCATCTCTGACGCCAGTCTGCGGAGAGGTCAGTGAATAAGCATTGTCAACAGAGTTGAAGTAGTGTTGTAATGAATATTGAGTCAGTGGTATTACTTAGAAATGACCTCTGTTGGTGAGAGCTTACTTTGGGACCTGGGGGCCGAAGATGGCATCAAAGTCGTCATATATCTCCACCTTGTTGGTATTGGCGGGGACTTCCTCTACTTGGCGGTAGAACTTGGAAAAAGTTTCATCCTCAAGGGACATCACTGCCTTAACCTTCTTCTGAGTGACTGTGATGGTTGATTCTGGCAGTCCAAATGCTGAAGAGAAGAAGAATCAATAATTGGTCGTATGTTAATAATGTCAAAAAATCATCTCATTGTGTGAACATTATGAAAGGTCTGACATCAGATCATGCTGAACTTGTAGACAGCATACCGAACAAGACTGACCTTTACTGTTGAGCTTGCCTAAGAATGATTCCAGTTTATCCAGCTTCAAGTCTGTCTCCAGGTTCAGATCTGGGACGGCCTTGATCTCTGCAAACCGCACACACATATACACACACAGCTGTTAGAGCCATAAATTGACTGTGTTTGAATATAGCACAAAGACTATCTCTGTACAGGCAGGAAGTCTGAGGCCCAATCCCAATGTCCACACTCACAGCTCACCAACTTTGAGGTGGGTTATGCTAGGTTAACAAGGGGATAGGGCCAACCCATTGTCAAATCAACAAGTGCATGAGGGCTCATGTGGCTCTTTTGGCAACTCAATTAGTCCACATTACTGCAGACTCTGCCTGAGAGATAACCTACAGTTCATAGTGAAGGAAGGCACGAAAGGGATATAAAAACATGGATGGAGCTGCTTGTTCAAAGATTGGGATTGGGCCCCTGTTTCTGTTGTTCAGAGGCCAACGTGCCAACAGTGAAGCTGACTTTGAACAATGACTGAGCATGAACAGTTGCATGTTGCATATGTCACAATGAAGTAGAATCCGAAAATGTTTACTCAATCAGTCACAGGCATTCTAACAACACTAAACAGCCGCTAAATATGAATCCTACTAAAATTAAGACCCATGCATCTCGATGGTAAGTTTGTCGTATTGTTTACATTCTATTAGGCTATAATGACCTAATAGATGTCTCACAGCAACACCAGCCACATTAGTGATGATGTTTGTGGTTTTGGTGACGATGATGATGATGATGATTGCATTCAGGGCAACACTAACAAAAAGAAAGGAAAAAGGGAATACACCTTCATAATCAGACATCTCCTCCATGTCTTTTGAAAAAGAAGCAAAGAGAATTAATGACATGGTGTTAGAAAGAGGTGAGTCCCAGAATCATTCCAAAAACTCGAAATGTAGCATCAGTGAGCTCAGAGAGTCTGACATTGTATAACAGAGAAATACACCCAAGTTCAAGAGAACAATTCAGTTAATCAAAGTCATGTCAGCTAAGATTAAATTGGATTGAAGAAGCAGCTCAACACTACAGTCTTAAATAACCCATTTAAAGAACCTGGCCAGCTCAGGTAACAAGGGTGTAATGACAAAAAAGCTAGGAAGAATACAAAAAAGAAACTGACCCTCCTGTGGTTTGGAGATGGCAAGGCTGCTGTTCTTGGGTTTGGAGGTCACTAGGGACTGGAGGGCTGAGGGGGCAGCCAACCCTGTTGTATGAGCAGAGAAAGGTGTGAACATCCATGCTCTATACATGTTATGGCATGAACAGCATTTTTTTTCACTTTAACTTCATAGGTTAAGACAAAAATTGCAATGTTACCAACACATTGGTTCTATAGATGATTGGTGACCCGTTGTTGGCCTCACAAAGAAAACAACAGGTGTGTGTTTTAAAGTCATATTCTAAATAATAAGGAACAATATGCAGCAGTAGTACAGTATATGTGTAGGAAACAATATAACTAGAGCAAACAACTAACTTTAAAAAGGCAGTCAAAGCTAAAGAGACTTTATAGGTGCCTGTGAAGCTGGCTAAGGCTCCATTAGCTATAATCTTGCTAATCTCCCAAAAGACAAATTAAACTTGCCATCAGCTGCCCCCTCTGGTTGAGCCTGAAGCTAATATGGAAGTTTCCGACAAAAAAAGTTCCGTCTCTCAGCAGCCATTCTCTGGAGGAACGCAGAGAGCTAATACTGAACAGCAGACTTAACACTCTAAGGTGATATGAACTGTGCACCCTGTTTGCATAGCAATTCTCAGAGATGGAGAAGGAATGAAGTGAAAATATGTGTGTTCAGTTTCCCTCTGACCTTTCTTCACCATGCGTGCAGCCACAGTGAACTGGGTGGAGTCGTTGGCGGCTCCGTGGCCTTTCATCTTCCAGGCCTCCTCTTGGGCTACTATCAGCAGCTTCCTCTCCTGGATGGACATGTGCGCATCGCTCCCCTGGCTCTCCGTCTCAGAATCAGCTATTCTCTAAGATCAGAGACAGGAGGAGGGAGAGGTTACCGTCAGCTACAATACAAACTTTTAGAATGAATGCTCCTGATTGACAGTTAAAGGAATCATCCACCCGAGGGTAATTTGCTGTAATATATCTTCAGTTTGTGAAGTTCGATGCATTCCAGAAACCCTTTTGTGAGTATATGACGTAACTGTATCCACAATATTTATTTTTGTTCGAATTCTGGAACGACTAAGGTACTTGAGTTGAAATAAATAACTTTCTTATAAGTTTGTTTTCACACTCAACAGAAAATAATACATACTGAAAAACACAATAGAACCATCTTATATCGGCATTGGATGATTGTTAATAAGTGTTTAAATGTTGTATTTGCTTTAACAGCGAGCGATATCCACAAAAGACAAAGTAGCAGAGAGGTTAAAAAGGTTTTAGTGTCACTCATGAGTTAAACAAAAAACACATTTAAGTTAAGAATGAAAAAGAACAAGGGCAGAAAGTATCCTTTAGAGACTTATATTACATTACTCATTAGGTTCACATTTTATTTTTAAAATGTACATGTGTGCAAAGGCTACTACTTGGGAGGGGGAGTTTTAAGAGATTTAATGTATGAGAGCACAGATTTGACAGGGTCACCTTCCGTCTCCAGGGGTGTCTCGCATCCACCTGCATGGGTCTGGGAGATCTGATGGTCTTCACAACCAAAAAGGATGGATGAGGAAGGTAAGAAAGGATGAGGATTTAGAGATAAGGATGAAGAGATGGTCGGAAATGGTCATGCTTTGCACAAGCATTTGATGCTAAAGGGGTTGCCATGCTGACTTCATAGGCGAAGTGACAAAGCGTTGGGACGGGGATAAGTGGCTTGAAAGTGGAGCAGGGTGAGCGTGACTGAATGTAAGGTGCCCAGGTCGGTGAATTGGTTTTTAATGTGAGGGAATTCAGTGTCAATGCCCACACAGGTATGGCTGAACAGCATTTGAGAAACCTTACAGGGAAGATGCATGTCGAAACAATGGGGTTTTGAATTGGTGTGTGGTTTCCAAAGCAAGGGAGGTGGCGACACAATTAATCGGCAAGCAATGCATGCAGCTAGAGATAATGCAGCTTTTTACCTGGCTTGCTGACTCATCAGGGGAAGGAGTATGTAAACGAGGCTCAGGTGGAGGAGAGAAAGTAGAGGCAAAGAGCGGATCCTATAGAGACATAGCCGTGGAAAAAGGTAATAGTATTATACAGATTTTACACATGAAGATACGTTTAGTAGTCAGGGTTAATGCTTGCAAGAACAGTCGTTTAGGTGTACTAACCACTGTCATAGTGATGACATCAGAGTTAAGTTGGCCAGAGCTTGGTGACTACACATTTATTTGCTCTTTATTTTGGTTTCATTAGAGTTCATTTGTTGTTTTTTTAATCTGGAAAAGACTGCTAAATCTTTTGTACTTTATTATTTAAATTAAATTATTTTAAGCACAATGTGTAAACCTATAATATATTATAGATACAACATTATTATAGACAATTTTATAAAGTTATAAGGTTGTTATGGTGGACAAGCAAGCAACTACCTTCTTAAACATTCAGCAGATGCAGGGCAATATTTGTTCTCATTAGTTCATATGTTTTCACCAGACTTGTGCTAATGTGTGCATTTCCTTAGATGCTAAATGCTCCAATATGATCCCAAGGTAATGGCTATCTTTGTCTGTTGTTACAGTACAGCACACAGGGTTAATAATTCCGTGGGTTTGTCAGTACACCTGACCCCTGTCATGAAGAATATTGATAATGCAGCGTGTTCTTTTCACTTAAAAAGGGAAATCTTAAAATGTTATGTCTATCTTAACATTGCAATCAGCCTAGAAATCATCCATAATATTAGAATGTAAACGCTTCTTTACAGCATTACATTTCTTATATCCACAGAAATATTACAGAGGAAATGACCCCAGTATAGCCTTGAGCATCAGGCATGGAGAGGAAACGGGAGCGCAGAAGTGTGGCAAGCCGTTTGAATTTAACTTCAACAACAGTTCTGGCCTTGACTATCAGAAAGAGATTATAGTCCCTCTCCAGGCATCATTCAAAGGTAACATTTCCAGAACATATCTCGAGAAGAAAAGTTAGGAAGATTAGGACAAACACCATTTAAGCAGGCACAAAGACAAAACATCCACAGTGTGAGACTGACAGTCATTATTCTGAAACCCGAGCTTGCATGAATTAAAGAAGCACACCAACCAGTTACACACCTGCACCCTGATCCTAAAGGGAAACACCATCACAAGGTACCACTACCAATTTCACCACATGTTTGCCACACTCTGGATGTATTTATCAAGAGCAGGAAGTGTAAAGCTGTGACTAACCCAATCCGATAGAAAAGCACTTGATAAATAGCACCGCAGTGTGTTCAGTGTGTTTTCGGCCTTGCACACTGGCCTTACCCAGAGCTGGTCGGACACAGCAAACTCATCGATCATCATCAGTTCTTCATCGTCCTACACAAGAAGTCGCAGGAGAGAAAAGGATGTTGCTAAAGGGTCTGTTTTCCGGGAAAATAATTTCACGGCCAAATCACAAGATCAACTCCCATATAAAACATTTTGGATACACCGATTGGAATTTCTAATCTGTTAGTTTCCTTTTTGAGGCCCTTTAACAAGTGTACTTTGGTGGAACGCACCAAGACTACGGAATTTATGGTGTAACGAGATTGGCAATTCCACCCAAAAACATGTTCTTTTTGGAACAATGGGAGTCTTTATTTGCTCAGTTGGCATTCGTTTTGTATCTTCCTTATCTTAAACCTGGCTCTTCTTTGATCTGAAGGAGGAAATTGATTGAATTGTGTTCACTGGCCCTGATGAGTGGGAGGATGAAAACAAGATGAACAATACTAACTGTCCTTTCCCTTGACCTCTACTTCACAATCATTTATGGTCCCGATTTGATGAAAACATCATGCTCTTTGTAGAAAACATCAGAAATTGGCTGCTCAAAAAAGTCAAAAACAGTTGAATCTGACCTTAGATGAACGGACAACCTCAAATCTGAATGTTATTCGGCTGAACAAACCCTGATAAGCAGCTGGAAACAAAAACAGCAGCTGATGTGGATGGTAGCAGTTTGAATATGTCTAAACAGAGAGGTACATGTACCGTCCCACCCTAACCCTTCCTTCAAAAACAATCAAAGGATGCCAACACAGAAAAATACTTCACATGCAGAGGATGAAATAAAGTTTATTAAGGTAAAGGACATGCAAACAGAGACAGAGGAAACCGAAGAATGAAAGGTTACATGCAGATCAGTGGAAAGCAAGGTTAAGCAAGGTTAAAGCCAGGCAAGATGGAGAAACAGAGGCTACATATTATTAAAAGCTACATACAGTATTAAAAGCACACACAAAGTATTTAACTTTTCTATTTGTATCTCAATGTGTTTGGAATTTGGGCAAAATTAGGCTTTCAAATTCATCCTAATGTACTCTGCTCTTGATAATTGCAAATTACAAGTGTAACAAATAAACAATGTATTCTGCCATATGGACGATTATGGCTGCAATCATTTAAATGGAACAAATTGATACAAATGTGATATGTTCCATTTTTGCCTAGTTTTAAATAACTGTTTTTATTTTATGATCATGGTTGAAAATATGCAAATACTTCAGAAATTAAAATTACAATGAATCTCAACATTGCATGATAATTGCAATGCTATTTAATTAAATAAAAAAGGGACATTTTTTTATATACATGCAATATACAGCCTCAACTCGGCTTTTGAATTGAAATGATGCCTTTAGGATGATCATAATCTGCCAATTTGAAGTTTAAATCCATATCACATTGATGTGAATATTAGAGGGCACACTAAAGGGGAACACCAACATTTTTTCAAAGAGTTTAATGATAGTTAAATGTGTATTATCATTCATGCAAAAAATAAAAAGCACCTTTCAAATAAAAATAAATGATTTCATTTGAATATACAAAATGAAATATAATACACTAAAATATCCATTGAATACAAACAGCATGAAATAAGAAATAATGTGCGACTGATCCAGATACAACAGTATCTATTTAACTCCCATGACTGAAATTCATGCAATTTAAGTCTTGTTACAGTCCAAGCAGAAAAACAAGAGACAGAATAGAGGAAAGAGAGAAAGATCAGAAGAAAGACATGGACAATACACAACCTCTCTGTTTGAAGACATCCAAAATGATTACCATGTGCCCTTTAAGGATTCTACTGAACTGATTGTCTAATGGTTGTCCTCCTTCTGACAAACTATTTCCGATCAACAGCCAGACTTCAGAGACTGATACAGGAAATGCTTTCTGTGATAATACAACACTGGATCAAATCTAATTACTGCAGCCTCACTGGCATGTCACTGCGCTGCATTAGTGCTGCATTCAAGTGTCATAGAGTGCTGGAGTGTCTGTTAAAAGCTGTTCCCAGCAAGAGTTATTGTGTTTGAAATGTGTACTTGCTCCTGAAATGTTCAACGTAATTTAAACAAGACAGTTTGCCATCTTTTCTACACATTTGGAGTATAGTCATGATGTAACAGACAAGACATAATAGCCGCAGTCTGTCTGTCTGTTAGTCTCAGTGAGTGTGCAGGTCAGGTGGTTACCTTCTTGTAGCTCTGCTCCTCCTCCCAGAGCTGAGCCTGCTGTTCGCCCACGTCGCCCTTCATCACATCCTGCTTCCTATTGATCCTGTTCCTCCAGTCATCCGCGCCACTCTTCTTCAACAAGGCCACTCTGAGATGGAGAGAAAGCAGAAGGAGAGATAGTTACAATAACGTTTACACTAGGGGAGAAATTACGGTACACATTTTAAGAATATGCTTAAGAAGGAAGTGTTTTGACCAGACTGACAAAAGAAAAAACAATATTTAAAAAAAACAAATCACAATAATACAAATAGTAATGAGGTCAATGAAGCTGTTCAACCAGCTGGAACACAGAGACCTTACTCATCTAACGCTTAACAAATAATGATATACCAAAACTATTCCTATTAGCAGCTTGTATTTAATAGGACTAATGACAAATAAGGAAAAAATGCACACAGAGATTCTTAAGTAAAAACACAATATAATATGTATGTATGATATGCAAGACTTCGCTTGCTAAAAACTCAGTTTACTGTAGCTGCCTCTCAGCTTTTAACTCAACCTGTCACAACAACAAAAAGGGATGCTGCCTTGTGCCGTTTAGTCTCATCTGCAGGACTGTTTGCCTCTGCTTAGTTTTTGCTGTCTTCCATGCAGACAGCATATCATTTAGCAACCACGGTTAGAAATAAGGTTAAGTTCTGGGTAAACACACTGGTGACAGTTTAAGTACAATAAGACATACAGATCACTTAGAGATGCCAGTCAGTGTAACTGCTGGAAGAGTATTTGGCAGGGTTAGATTTAAACAGTTAAAATGAAACAAAAGGTGCTTGGATTCATTTTAGCTAAAGTAAATATAGGAGACACATATTGGAAAACCGTTCTATGATAAATACTAATTTTAGATTTAGAATTTGAACATTAAGAAAACTGGGTTACTTATAAAGCATATTGAACGTTTTTGGGTGACAAACTTAACATCTGCTTCACATCTGACTGACAAGCAAGAAATAAGAGAAACAAGTTCAAACAAAGAACAAGAAAAAAATGTCACAAATACACATTTAGAACAATTATACGAAAGAAAAGTATAATCCTTTTTTAGTAAAAGGCCTGGCTGAATCGTGTAGGTAAGTTTAAAGGTAATGTTCATAGATTCGAACACTTCAAGCACCTCTTAGCATTACCATTACCATTAGCTCAGCGCATACCAACTAAGAATGTGTTGGTGAGTATACCATGAAGTGCTTTAAAAATCAGTTAAAGACACTGCCTGATGTACAGTAAAAGTGTGAATTAGTCTCTCAGAGGAAGAAATGATCGGAGTTTAGCAATATTTTGAGCTTGAAGTATGGAGTCAAGAACAGAGGCTTAATTATTGAGCTCTCATCTCTGAGTATGGTGCAGATGAGACCCATAATGGAGGGGTCAGACTGCTGGCGGTGCCCTCTGCCCCTCTAACAACCACCCCTCTGTGACCCAGTGTGTGGACGTCCTGTCCCGCCCCGGGGCTCTACAAGAACGGCAAAAAACAGGATGAAAGTAACTCTGAATACATGCGTCCAGCTGTATCTAGGATACAGATCCTGCCTCCTGTAAAATCCTTTGAAAATGGGCAGGACTGAAAGACTGACATGGTGATGGAGTGAGACAAAGTACAACAAACACACTGGAACAAGCACAGCCTTTACCACCAGTCTACATGTACTTCTATTATGTCATTGATCAATTTGGAGCGCAACGGCTGCATGGTGTCAAACCAAGAGGACTAGTCTGTGTGACATAACTAGATTTATGTAACTATTTCATCCAATACAGATGTCAGTTGAAAGTCAAATGGACATGATGAACAAGTGCGCTTAATGCACTACAATGATTTAACGTTACAAAGGATAAAAAACAAATAATGAAAATGAACCCTCTTTTGTCTAAATGTCATCCTTTACTGAACTACTGACCCAAAAGGAGTGTTAGCACATGACATACAAGAAGTAAAACAGCATTTTAGACGCCTAAAGGAAGAAAAACAATAACTCAATCAAAGCCTTAAATCCGGCACAGCACCACACACCAGGCTCACCTCTCTTTGATGGACATTTGTCTGGCCATCATCATGTTGCTCAGTTCATCTCCCTCGTCAGGCTGATACAGATCGTCTGTGTGTGTGTCTGGAAGCTGATACAGATTCCTGGGCGAGCCAGATGCTGCTCTGGATGTTACCACTGCAGACTCCGGCAGATCTGTGAGCAGACAAGCACGCACATGATGGATTTAAAATCAATACATGGACATCCACTACATAAAGATGAGCGGCTGCCCATAGAGGAATGGATTTTAAATGGCACTTTACTGCTCGTATCAGACTCCATGATATTTCCTATTTAGGATACACGCCCCTTAATTACACAAAGTTGAATGACTATAAGGTTTTGTATAAAAGAGTACAGTCATGGCTCTTAAAGTGCAAGCTAAGCAGCACAAAACAGCGTGGGAGCAAACATCTTTCATGCTTACCAAGAGGCTCTTGTCTGCCTGTGAGAAGCAGCGCAGACACTCACAGCTTTTACCCCCCTGCCACAGCTGTAATCAAATAACCCACGCTGTTTTGTAGTAACACTGAAGCTCTCTAGCAAAAGTACTGCCATTTGTCTGTGTGTGCTTCCATACTTTTCCATCACGATACAACAATTGTCTGACTGATGTTTGTGCTCTCTGAAAATATGTATTCTGATACAGAGAGAATCAAAGTGTTTGGCTCCAAGTGTCTGCTGCTCAGACATGGAGGAAGCCTGCAAACCACCATCTGAATTAACATTGTCACGGTCACAGGAAATGTGGTTGACTGAGGAATAGTTGTTGACTGTGGCCTGCAATTGACACCGGTGTTTATTTAGTCTCACAGTTTGTTCTTTAAATATTTTAAATTCACTTCAGCATCACTTTCATTTCTTAGATTATAATCTATTAGACCCACACTAATTTTACAAGGATTCCTTTTCCACTTAGCTAACATGACAACAACATATTGATCAGTAAAACATGCTGGTATTTAGCAGGAATAATGGTAATCATGCTCACAAAGTCATGTGTTAGCATGAGAACATTTGTTTATTATTAAAACAAATTGAAAATGATATTATATTTATTGTATTCTTGGGAATTGGCTCATTACATATTAATAGCCAACTTCCTTTAGCTGACAAGTTGTTGTTTTTTTTTTCAACCTTTTTTTTATGTTATACAAAATAAATATCAAGAAGGTATGGCCGGATCCTGGTCTTCTGTTCTTACCTCTACTGACGGCCCTGCTCCTCCGACTCTCTGGGTAGTGTTCTTCCTCCCTCAGATACTCCTCCTGCCTCTCCTGGAGCATGTAACTCTCTGAGCTCTGCACGTCCCCCCACCCTCCGGCAGGCCACTGCTCCTCCCCCTTCTCCACCACCACCTCCTCCCTCCTCTCTCTGCCACTCTGAGGCTGGGGCAGAGCGGCCTGCCTGACCACTCCCTCAGGAGAGGGTAGTTTCCTCTTCCCTCCTCCAAGATAAGTGCCAGCTTCTCCCTGGGGGACGTTTTGGTACCTCTGGTGGTCCGTGACTTCCTGGGACCTCCATGAGGGTGCATCTGGGTTGTGAGGGGGCAGGGACCGGTCAGAGCTGGGAGGGAGGGGTTCAACCCGGGCTGCTGCTCTGGTTATGTGGATGTCTCCGGCATGGTCAGTGGAGACTGTGCCTTCTCTCAGAGCAGAGGAGGAGGATGAAGTAGGGAGCCGAGAGCCTGTTCCGTTATGAAGCTGGAGGAAGCAAGAGACACAAGCAAAGAAAAAAGTTGGTCCATTTGCGATACAGAAAACATTTCAGGAAAACTGCACACACACACTCAACACTGAGAGAATCATGCTGACTAATCAGCGCCTGCTTGACTCACTGCACTTCCTGAGCATCAAAGGGCAGCCTATCTCTCCAGTCAATTGCAGCCCACATCACAAAGCCATGCCAGCATACTCCCTCACTCACAATGCTGTGGCCAAAATACACACTTTCCAAATTCATAACTTCAGTTAAAGAACTAACCAGACATTGTTGATGAGTAATAAATGAGAAGCAGCAGTAAACATCCAGGAAAACCATCTTGCAAAACAGAATCCTTAAATGTCTTAATCTTCTGCTTCGATTAGCTCTCCCACGCTTTCCCTCTCAGAAAGAGTTGCCAGTTCTGAACGAGCTGATGAAAAATAGCTGCTTTCAGTCCATGTGTTGGCGAACAAGAGTATAAGTGCTTTTGTTCCCCTCTCCTCCGACACAGAGACATCATGTCATCAGCAGCATCACCCATCACACCCTCCACAGTGACACAGCATGATGATGAGAACTGAGTCAGAAGCCGGGCAATGCTCGTTACATTCATAGTGAAATCACACAACATGGATATAGGATGCCAAACAGCACGTGTTCACAGAAATGTACGGCCATTTCTGAGAAGAGTGCCCCAGCTCTATCACTTCCATTGTCTCAGGCAAATGCATGGTGACTGTTCAGAGGAACCTTACTTGTAGGAGCTCTACTGGGCTGTCAGATAACTGCTGTTCATCAAGGGAGTCTATGTCTGAAGGCTCCTGGAGCAGAAACACGCACAGGCTACAATGCTTGGTTCATGTATTCTCTATTTCTTAGACAGGTTTTACCATAATTAATTGCAAAATATATGGGGAAGGGGCCACTGTTTTATTTGGCCAGTTTTCTACTTATATGATGGTCAATAGTCCTAATATCACATATTTCTTTTTCGAGGTAGTCTTATTCTGTTTTTACCTGCTGTAGTTGTTTCCAAGTAAACGTGTGTTAGGGGAGTTTATTTACAAATCTAGAATAAAGAGTGTCATATGTTATCTTAAGCCAATAGGCATGAATATTTTTTTACACAGTATTTCCTTTAAATAATTAACACTTGGAGATAATCGTTGTCGGTTTTCTTTCTGAGAGAAAATTGTTGTCGCCCCATCACTTTCTTAAAACCACAAAACAATTTTTTTATTTTAGTATGGACAAACAGTGAAGTTATTCCTTTAAAAGATATTTCCAAATACAATATAACATGATTCATAAAGCCAAATAATAAGGCAATGTGTGTGTTAGAATACTTATGTTGTCCTAAATGAATATGTTCATAACAATAATGGTTAACAGTAATAGTAACTTCAGTAGAAAGTGAAACTAAAAAGTATGGGGAGAAAAGTAAGTATTATCCTGTAGTTCGCCTACCTGCTCCATATCTCCCAGGGTGATGGGTTGTGTCTGGTAGCGAGCGTTGGCCCTGCGATTGCGTGTGTCCCCTCTGATGCGGGTCACCCTGATGGGAGGCTGAGACAGTCTGTTGAACAGTGCCATCTTTTCTGCCAGGCTGAGGGTGCAGAGGTCAGGCTCGTCCTGACCCTGACTCTGGCCCGTTCCCTCCACTGTGGACACTGGCTTTGAAGCCTGGACCTCCTGCATCTCCTGCACCTGCCGGGCCTCCCGTGCCTGCTCCCGTGCCTGCTCCCGGGCCGTGTTGCTCTGCTGCATGGATGCCTGCAGGCTAAGGGTGGGGGGACATCCCAGAGACAAAGAGGTAGGAGAAAGGGAGACTTCTGGTAAGCATTGGAAGGAGCTCATGTAGCTAGCAGCATGCTACATTGCAGGCAACATTGTGGAGCTTTAAGAGTTTAAAAACGGTTGTTACACAGGAGTGAGTCATGCCCACCACAAACAAAACTGTGATATTCAGTAAACTCATAATAATAGTAACAATTAAATCATGTAGTTTCCTCCAATCACACAGGAGGGCACAACTCAAAAAGCCAACCATTTACATCCTGTGGAGTAAAACCCACTCTGAAAAAGAACACTATGCCGTGGTGTATGAGCAGCATTCAGTAAAGATCAATCATGTTAGTCACACACTGTAAGTTGGTGGGAGCATTCGTGGCCGTGCCCTTGTACCTGTATGGTGGGACAGTGCTGCAAACTAGGGTGGGGCTAGGGACGCGTGCCACAGCAGTGTGTACAGTCACCGTGTGTGGCACGTGAGTGGGGACGCTACAGTAGTGAAGGACAGGGACAAAGTCACAGAGTGGACAGAGAACACACAGGGAATGAACCAGATGAATTCCAAGCTAAATGGTTCATTCAAACTAAGGGAAAGGAATATAAAGATGGTTGAGGTTCAGAAAGATGGCTGCAGGCTTAAACCACAGTGTCATTTCAGAATGTGTGAAGACTTTCGAATAAAATGTTTAATCAAGTCCAGAGCAGAACATTTGATGATGTTGCTGCATCATAATGCTTGTGGTTGTTTAAAGTATTTATAGGCTTACGTGGCGGCGATGACAACTTCCTCAGTGGTGACAGGCTGCGTTCTGGATCGATCTTGTGTCCGTCTTAGTCTCCTGTCCACCGCTGCATTCCTGGATCGATGCTTAGGAGCTCCGCCATCAATGCTCTTCTCGAGTTCCTGTATGGAAACGTTGGGGATAAATCAAAGAAATATTTCATTAAACAGTGACAATGGGTTTGACAAATAAATTAGCTACCAAAGTATATCAAACTTACATTATAGTGATTGAAGACAGATGAAGTGCATGAGGATCATAACTACTATCAAAGCTGTTAATAGGTCATTCATGTATCTTATACTGACCTCAGCTTAAGAAAAAAGAGACTAGGAAGGCAAGTCTGAGGTCAGTATGTAACACAAAGTCTTATGAAAGTCTTTATCTTCAAATCCTTACAGTAGTAGTAGAACAGAAAATAAAATCAGGACAGTGTCAATGTATGCATGTCCATGATTGCAAGCAGATTTCTCTATGCTTGGTGTCTAAAAACAACATGTAGGCTATAGATAGGGTTACTGTAGGTGATAGTTGAAGCTCACCCTGAAGAGAGAGCGCTTGGCTGCTACACTCAGCTTGGCCCGCTCATCTAGCTTCTCATCCTCAGCTGCAGGGAAAGAAACAGAGAGAGACACATTCAAAAGTCAACCTGCTGTTTTCAACCTATTCATGGTGCTTACATTACGTGGCTAATGCTATGGCTTGTGAGAGTTGTCATTTCAGCTCTAGTCTAAGGAACCATTGTATTAAAGACTCCTAAGAATTTTGAGGGGGACAATCTACAACCATGGTCATTGTAAACTATATTTACTATGCGGGAATGCAAAGCTTGACTTGCTTAGAGGCAGTCACTAAGGGGGGCGCAGCCTAGTGAGCAGTCGATTATTTGTCCACATGCTACAAATCACATTATGGGAAAAACTGATCTTCAAGAAACTCAAAGGTGAAAATTCATCAATCGCATTACATTTAAATTGTTTCTTAGAGTTTAAATTGAAGCACCGTCTCTCTTATACTGAACAGCAATTTCACTGTTGAGGTGAAACTTCCACCAGGGTTTAACTAAATATTCAATCTATTCTGAGGAACCAATACTTTTATTTCTAAACACCACATTTTTTCTATGATATGTTCTTCAGATCCACCAATCACCGTTATTATGTTTACCTTCATGACTACACAGCACCATCTGGTTTTAAAGATAGGAGCAAAGACTAACCCGCAAACGTGCGACTGGTGTCATCGAGGAGACTATGCAGAGCTAGACCACACACACACACACACACACACACACACACACACACACACACACACACACACACACACACACACACACACACACACACACACACACACACACACACACACACACACACACACACACACACACACCACACACACACACACACACACACACACACACACACACACACACACACACACACACCACACACACACACACACACACACACACACACACACACACACACACACACACACCACACACACACACACACACACACACACACACACACACACACACACACACACAATTCTCCTCAGTGAAAAAAGCATCCCAGCTGAATATGTGCTTATAAGAAGCAGATGAGCTGTGTCTGCCCTCAGTGGAGCTGCTGTGCTATTATGCTACTGTGAGCACGAGTAATGACTCTATAAAATCCACTTGGAAATATTCCGCTTTTATGGTACAAAAGGACATTCACTTCATTTGGTCTCCATTTGTCTATTCTTAAAGCTATAATATCAAGGCACTGGAAAATCACATTTTGTTCATTTGTGTCCTGCGGCAACTGTGAAGCCTACGGTAATCATGCTGTTTTCATTGGGAACAGTATACGTGGACTAGATATTGTTTTGTAAAGTTAAGTATTGACCACAGAAGGCAAGTAAAGTCATGCACATTAATGTACACATCCTAGCCAATATAAGTGAAATCGATATTGAATACGTGGGACTTATTGAATGCTATTAAATCACCATGATCTCATCAAATAACCTATCCTAAGACAAAATAAATTCAATAAACCTGGACAGATATGGTGGTATCTGCTAAATATACACCCCTCCAGTCAGTTTTAAACGTTTTAAATCACCTAAATATAGTGTTACCGTTTGCCTTGGGACCTCATATGTCGAAAAAACATCATAAACTAGACCCGATCCCAATTGATTTATAAGCCAAAAACAAAACTGCATTACTTTTATAGCTGTGAATGCAACATTAAACATTATGCAGCTAATAGTCCCAACTAACTAATCTAATTTGTCAAACAGATAGTCTAGTCATGCTGTTAATTCCACTAAAGCTAGCCATGCTTAATCAATTACCTCCTCAACACTTGTGTGCAGAGGCTACAGCAGTTCATGAGCTTTACACTATACAGTACATGCGTTTGTAGAAATATGTTGAGCAATTTATATTGTTACAAGTCTATAACTGTGTATGTCAAAACATTTAGACACACTAACAATGTACGATAGAACATGTGCATAATCTGTCAACCTACTGTTACAGTAATGTTCTGAATATCTTTAAATTAAGGGGGAAAAGGACTTACCTTCAATGGGAGGAAGATCTGAACTCACACAGGACCTTCAAAAAAGGTACACAAAGAAAAGGACAATCAGCAAAAGCGAGTAGCATCCATGCTACAATGCATAACTCAGTATTACGAAAGGGTGGTGAGTGGTTAGCGACAGGAAGAGAAAGCTGGTCAAGAGGAGGTAAGTAGACGAAATAAGAAGCAGTTGTTTCTTGTAAGCTGGAAATGTGACAGCGAGTGTTAGGGGTAGGAAATGCAAAAGGGGAAACAGAGTTTAGTAAAGCAGACTAAGCTGGAGATTTAGACTGCATTACAAAAGTCTGTGCGGTTCCATGGTCTCAGGGAGTGATTACCAACAAAAGGCCAATTCATGATTTCTTGGTATAGTCACATGTAATGACCACTGCCAAGGTCCAATCACAGGGACCTTCAGCCTTTAAGCTTCCCTGTTAGCTAATGTTGTTAGAGGGGTACAATCACAAAGAAAGTGATCGTGTACACAGCATGTGTGCTTGTGTAAACTGGATTTAAAGCAACATTATTCCGATCAAATATTTTAAAAAAATGTTTTACATGCATGATCATACTGATATTTCCCAGCATTCATCACTCTCAGCCATGCACTCTGGAGTCCAGAGCAGTACCTATCAGTGTCCTGGCGTTCAGCAGAAGTGATGGGCTGCGTCCTAAACCTCTCTGAGGTCTTTCTACTCTCCCCGGGATTGATATACTGCCGGGGCCTGCGCTCCCTGCCCCTCTCACCTCTCCATGGGGCCCCGTGGCCTGTGAGTGCACTGTCCCCTTCAACCTCACTGGAGGGGCTACCCAAGGAGAGGGACAAACAGATACAGTACCAAAAGGAAAAAGAAAATACAGCATAGTGAGGGAGAGATAGAGCGGGACTGGGCGCAAATATGGAGATATTAAAAAGCAGAGGTATAAGTTTAAATATTCATCACACCCCTGTATTTTAAATCAAAGATGTGAACAAGACCATGCAGATGTAATAGTGGTTATGGCGTGCATACGTTCATTGGCCCCAGGTGGTAACCACACAAGTGACAATAAATAAAGAACAAATAACATCCATCATATGAAGCTTAGTGTTAGGCGATTAAAAAATGAATGACATGTCTACAGATTAGAAACTCGTTTGATGATGAATTCACTCCAGCATTAGTTGCTTGTTAGTCATTCAGAAGCCAGCCGATGTTGGTTAACAAGCATCTGTGTGAGTTTTAGAGAAGCCAGCCAGCGAGTAGCCACTTTACTTTGACACCTACAGCTTATTTCTGCGGCTGGTTGGAGGGGTGGTGGTGTTCTCAATGTAGGAATGTCTGAGCTGGGCCACAGACACTCGGCTGTCCCGGTGACCCTCTTGGTTACTGGAACCATCCCCCTCCCTAACCTCAGGGGGGTTGCGATGCTGCTGGTTCCTCAGAGTGATACCTCTGGAAACCCCAGCATCTGACATCGAGCGGCTGGAGGGGGGGCTTCCTGGGTCTGTATGTGCTGCTCTTGGCTGGATCTGGGTGGTCGCTACCCCTTTCTGAATATCAACGGCATTGTCCCGCTCTCTATGCCTTCTCTCTGAGGCTTGCAGATGTGAAGTGTGTTCTGTTTCGGCCCTGGTTCTGTGTCTTCCTCTTGTAGGATCCTCTGCCTCAGCCTTCCTTGCCTGGTTAAGACTCTGTGCCCTGGACATCCCTATCTCTTCTTCCCACCTTCCTCTCCGGGGGTCCTCAGTGCTCCTCTCCCTGCGGCGGATGTCCGAGGGCAGCACTGCTTTCCGGCTCCTCAGAAGACCCTCCGTCTCTTCCTCCTGGGGCAGTTGTTGCTGATCCTGCCCTGCTGTGGGACCAGAAGCCATGGACAGGTAACTGTGGTTACCGCCAACTTCCTGTCCTCCTGGTGGCCCAGGTCGGGCGAGCTGAGCCCGGGGTTGATGGTGGGGATGGGAGTACATTTGCGGGGGGTCTGTATTGGAGCGTGTAGATGTTTGGGTCTGGTGTCTGCGGTGCACTGGAGCTTCTGTAACGTTTCCAGGCTCTGGGCTCCTCTGACGGTCCTCCCTGGCAATCCTCTCCCTAACTCTGATTCTTTAGGGGGGAAAAAAAGGCTGGTTATTTGCATCTACACAAAAAGACACATTTCATTTTCCCATTGTTATATTATCTGTTTAGGATAGTTATAGGCCTGATGGTCAAACGGTTTGCAACAGAGCACACATTTGTATTTGTTATTCTTTTCATTAAAAACTTCTATTAAGGATAGTCATGGGTTAGCCAACTGATACTTACGAAAAGTCATGCCCAAAAAAAGCTATAGCAATTCCTTTTACACCAACCCTAACCGACACTGACTAACTTGCCCCCAAACCCATAATGTAGGGTCATTTCTGATACTTCAACATCACAACCCTATGTTATATCCCTAATTATGGTTAGTATAATATTTTCCTTTTAAAAGGTTTGTTTTCACATGGGGATTAAACTGAACACAGCAACATATGCGTAGAAGATGGAGTTAGGGTCCAAAGCGGGAACAGGAGCTTGCGGTAATAAGGATGATCATGATGAGGGGTCAGCTGCAGAGATTCTTAAACATTTGTGTCTCAGTCAGGATTATTCCTTAAGATGAGACAGGGTATAGTCTTATAGAGAACAGTACTGGTTTCTGTCCTACAGTTTAAGAAGCACTGCTCATAAGGGTTGATGAGTTTTTGGTAAGTCCAGCTGAATGGAGATATAGGGGTGAGACACAACCAGCCTGGGTGTACCTCGAGGGCCAGTTGATGAGAGAATGGGTGTCGCCCTCAGCATCAGTCTGGAAGAACCAATCAGTGCTTGGTTTCGCCCTTGCACTGTTCCAATAGATACCCGATGGGAGACAAGTGAATGAAAGGGTGGGTGGGTAAAGGTCGAGATTCAGTATTCAGCGTTTCTCTTGGAACACACACAGGCACAGCACTACATTGCACACACCATTAACTTCATGTTGAGTGTGACAAGAGTGAGAATGTGCTTGGACACCAGCAGGACGCTGCCAAGAACACTAGTTCAACTCTCCATTTCATTTTTATTGTGGTTTTTTCGGGGAACCATCACAGGCAATAAAATATGAACTTAGTTTCTATTAGATTACATTTGGCCACATATTGCACCTATGTTATGTGGAGAAAGCTCTATTATCAAGAGAGACTACCTCTCTAACTGAGGTCTTATCTACTGAAGCAGATACTCGCAGGAAATGCCGTCTCACTTTATTTCAGTCGAAAGGCAGATGAGTCACGCTGCCTCTGAGGCTGCAGTAAGACAAATAGCTTCATCAGTTTCATTAGCGAGTGAGTTCAACTCTAGGAGAAATTGCCTGAGTCATAAATAAAGGAAGAGATGATTTATGCGGGGGAATCAGGAGAGCATTTCATAAACCAGTGCTCCTAGGACCAGAATATTGTACCAAATAAGGAAAAAACTCCAAAGTAAAAAAAACTACCCAGACTGATATTTGGACCAGTAATTTAAATATAGAGTCTTGTTTTGTAGCCATTAGTCCGAGGTCTTTCTGTCACAATGTTTTAAACCTAAGTGGATCTGAATGGATTGAAGCATATCGGGTATATGCTCTGGTCACGTGGTATTCACTGCAGGATAGGGCGTCCTTCAAGCAGAACAGTTAGGCATACTGCATAACAGCAACGTCCCTTATTAAGTGCTTCATATATTCAAGGAAATGCTCTGGTGAAGAGCTCCTTTTCTTTTTAAAAGAGAAAATAAATGGAACCAGGGAAAATTAATACTAAGACTAAATGGCTACAAACAATATGTACAGAATCACTAGGATCAAAACAAAGACCGACAGAACACAAGGTTATTGGACTGTGAGCCGTAGGGTCGCCGGTTCAAGTCCCCGAACATACCTAAATATGGAGTGTGGACTGCTACTTGGAGAGGTCCCAGTTCACCTCCTGCCCTGCCGTGGTGCCCTTGAGCAAGGCACCGGACATCCCCCTTCCATTGCTCCCCGGGCACTGTACAATAGCTGCCCACTGCTCCTAGTACTAGACTCCTGGTACTAGGATGGGTTAAAAGCAGAGAACATCACTGTGTGTGCTCTGCATGTGTGACCATTAAAGAGGATTTCATCCCTCCCAATTCTATTCTATTCTTACATGCTTAATAAAAGGAGGACCTTTGTTCATAACACTTTGTAATTGAGTCCTTAAATTGAACCGTTGATGTCAGACCCACAGATTCCCTGAGAAGAGGTAGAGGGGATGTGCTTCCGCACCATCAGGCCTCCTGGTCTTGATCAAGCCCAGCTGTGGGTCAGAGTTCTCACTGTGGAGTCCCACTGAGCCGCCCAGTAACAAAACACCCTCCCTGCACTGCAGACACACACACACACATACTGGCCAAGTTTTGAAACCTGAGAGAAGGATTTAGGAGCAGCAGGAGGGAACGATGTAGATAGAAACATGGGATAGGGAATGACCACGTAGTCGGGTGTAGAATCATCTTTATCTGTTCGTTGGAAACACTGGCCAAACCTGGTCAAGACCTGGGAGCGACTAGTCGGTTGTTGCATCACAAAATCAGGAAGAGTTTGTGCTGATACCATCCGAGTTATGGAGCTGCTAATCAGTTTGGGATAAACAAATTAAAGGATTATTCCAGTTTTTTTACAACTCCTAAATCTATAATTTTAGTTATGCTGCTTAAAAAACAAAATAATGTCTGAGACTTGAAAATATGATAATATCGCTTCAACCAAGCAGTGAATAGTGTAATAAATAGCCGCAAATACTCAGTATTTACTTACTGTAAGTAGGTTCTCATGTTTGTTTTGTACTGTCAAAAACGTGTGGACTGCATGTAGACTATGAGCAGGTAACATCATTTACATCACATGAATTCTTGTGGCCATGCAGATGTGGAAAGTACCATTTAAACTTAATCTCATAAAAGGGACAGGGATAGAGTGTGTTTCAAGGCCAGATTAAACCACTACTGTAGGTTGCCTTGGGGCAAAAAATAACTTTGGGCCCCTGTGAGTCCCCCCTGACATGTTGCCCAGAAACCTCAAAACTGACCTGTGTTCCTCGAAACTGGAACTCTTCCCCGTCTCAGGTTTGCTTTATAATCTGTAATTTTTTTAAATGAAATACTCGTTTTGACAGATTAGACACTATGTTAGTCTAACAATAATTCACAAATTACCATAATCACATGACCAAAAAGAGCCCTGAGCCCTAGAGAGCTCCTGAGGGTCTTGGGGAAGTTACAACTACTACAAGTATTGTACAATATGTTGTAGTTTAAACAGAAAGTAGGTCTTACAACTGTGATTCATGTCATCAAGGAACCTTTAGTTCAACTCAAATTGCAATGAAATTGAATGATCTTTTAAGAAATCCCCTGTTCCTCTGATAAGCACTGCTGTATGAGCTTCTTCAAAAGGAGAAATTCTCTTTAGGAATGTGGGATCAGCTAAAGTGGTACTTCATCCAAACAGCATCGGAAAATAGTTCTTTCTAACAAAAATAGCAACAGCTTGGCCAGTAAGAGTTCCTTTGAGAATTTTAAAATGCTTTAAAATATCCACCTGGAAAATGTGGAATAGGACTCAACATACACACATTGTGTATTTTTTCTGCCTTGTATTTTGCAAGCTCAGCTGTGCAACTCAAAGGTTGTTTCGGGCTCAGGTTGCCTGACCTGGTTTGAAACCAGAGTCGTGCCAACAGGATGACCTTGGACACGTGTAAAAAAAGACAGAGATGATGGGAGGGAGGGGGTGACTGTCAGTCTGATGGATAATGCTGTCACAGCAATGATACAGCAGTGTTCTGGATGGAAATCATGCTCGAACCCTGTGTATCTGGATTGGAGAGAAAGCAGGGGTCGTGACCCCAGAAGGGGAATGATCTGCTAATAAGATGTCAGACAGGAAGACTAAATAGCTGCTCTATTTTCTAAATTGTGAAACAAGAGAGACAAACTACTTTGGGTGTAAACGGGGACCAATAAGTCACTGCTCAGGCTACTCACCCATGTCTGGTGAGGATGGTGTGGCTCGGCTGCTCGATGAATTGGTCCCCAGTGGACACGGCATGTTTAGGTGAGGAGAGGGATGAGTGCCGGCTTGCCTTGGGTGAATTGGGTGGCATCCCTGTGACTGAAGAGTCTTTGGCGGGCACCGTGGCAGTTGAAGACATTGATGTCACATCCATGTATGAGGAGGAGGACGGCAGCTCAGGAGGAGCAGCTCTGCGTTGATTCTCCAGGTTCATCAGCCTCTCCCTCTCAGACAGCGAGTCCACTCTGGTCCGATTCACCTCGTAACCCGGGTCTGGTTGACTCTGCTGTGGTGCCGTGTGTCCCGCCCTTGGGCTCGTGACAGAGGTGCTATTGTAAGAACTCAGGGTGATGTCCCTCCCTTCTTCCCCCACTGATTCCGCTCGGATACGCCTCTCTGAGCCTTCCAACTCCTTCCGTGTACGAGTGGAGCGGGGAGGTGGCTCCACGTCTGGCTCCTGATCTAAAGAGATGCCGTAGCGCTCGGCAAGCTGCCGGCGCCGCTCCGCCTTGTAGCGTGCGATGCGTTCAACCTTAGACTCAGTCTCAGGGTTAATGGTGGTGGAGTCTGAAGTGTGGACAGGCTCTGGGAGGATGGAGGTCGGGGGGTCAGGTCTGCACCGAGCTCTAGACTGTCGCTCTGGAGCCTTCGGCTGCGACTCTGGGCTTTCCAATGCCTCCATGCTGTACCGCTGGACTGTAACTAGAAGAAATCGAGAGGATAAAGGTCAGTCATCCTCATAGAACCACAAATAAAGTGTCAACAAATTGTCTAGGTACTGTACTTACCACCACAGGGCTCACAGGGATCAGAGGCCCTGGTGTATCGGGGTGTGTCCTCCTCCAGAAGCCGGTTAACCACCAGGCTAGGCAGCAGGGACGGATGCACCTCAGCATCGATGCCCTCCAACCGCCGAGCGATACGCTCCTTTCTGCTGACATACACACGGAGGACAGGAAGGAAGAAGTATTCAGGCATGTTATTAACTTTCACAATATTATCATTATCAGAAACCCAAGCAACTTTATACCCTTATCCATCTTACCTGTTCATTTTCCAGTCACTTGAGCTTGTGGTGATGCCTTCAAATCGTTTCCTCAATTCAGAGACTATAGAAAGAATGAAAAACACATCTTGGCTCAATATAAGGAAACCATCTCAACCAAACTAAACTGTTACTTAAGACGACATGGATATTTGCAGGTAGGATCTAGAAAAAAGAAAATCTAAAAAATATGTTCTTGTCTATTATTTGTAGGATTAGGGTTAGCAGCATTTTACTGTGTGAATATAGTATTGTATCTGCAGAACCAAAGCAAAACCAGCTTTTAAAAACCAGCCATTTATGCCCTAGAAAAAAGTCAAAGAAGATGTTCACTACTGACAGCTGAGCCTAAGGGTCTTTTATTCATCTGGGATCATTTCCCAGAAAATCATGCTGTTCTTGACCAGTTTTAAATGTAACATCTAATCTATATTAATCGGTCTACTTTACAATTTCCCATCCACATCTTCATTATTGGCCAAATCAAAACTTGTAAAAAGCTAATTAGAGGTGTCCCTTAACAGCTCATCAGACGTTTATATTCACCTTTCAGTTGGATTTAACGGGACCTCTAAATAACTGCATCTCTTTATTTGAGTATCAGTAAAGAAATTCCGGTGCAGTGTGTCATACTATTAAATGTGTGAGGACCGTGCTTGTAGAAAAACAGGTTTTAGAGAAATCTTGACATGAATCAACCTGGCAAAGAGATAGCTCTTGCACAACAGTGACTTCAAAATCCCTGAGAAGGTTGATATGAGGACTATTTGCAAGCAGGCAAGAAAAAAAGAGAAAAAAAACCCCTTACTCACCTTTTGGGAGGTTGGCCAAGACACTAACATCTATATCTTTGCTTTTAGCTGGGTCGTCTTTTTCGTCGAAGGTGAATTCTTTCTGGAAGCTGAGGGGTGCAGGAAAAATACCAACTGTTATTGAAGGGCTGAGCTGCAGGGAAGTGTGGGATATGTCTATAGGCCGACAGTGGTAAGGGGCTCAACTGAATTATTCTGAATTTGATCACACTTTCAACCAATCTATATTTAATGTGGCTGGAAGCAGGATTAGTTTGAACAAGAATCAGACAATTTATCACAGATAAAGCAAGGAATCATCCAAACATTACATTGTGATTGCAATGTGTGTATCTTCTTGAATCCCTAAATATTTATGTAGAAATTAGAGGGTTTTTCCCGTCACACCCTCTTACAGATCCACAGCCTTTTTTCTCTTAGAATCATACTGAAGTCTTTTATGGATTTGATTCAAAACCACAATGTTACAATGCAGCTGTGAAAGAACTGGCAGATTCCCGATGTGAGGAAACAGTCAAGAATTGGAAAAACTGACTTTGTGGCTTTTTTCATTCCAGCGAACACAGAGCTATGAACACATTGAAATACATAATCACTTTATACCCTTTTCTATCATAACAGCATATGTTTTCATGACTGAAATTTCCCAACATCTACTTCCTACATGCACAATGTTTTCAGGTCAGAACCACACCCACGCACAGTTTGGCACCACAGTGGTGTCACAGTGTGCAAAGTCCTCGCTGCTGTAAAGGAAACTTTCTAAATAGAGGCTAACATGTAGACCTAGAGGTATTTTTGAACCTCTGCCAACTATATAATGCTGAGCAATCCTTCTAATGCTGCAGCAGGGAGCTTTTACCCTGCTACGCAGTAGAGTGAGCTTATATTTGACTTTCTCAGAAAGCTTGGACACTGGCCTATCTGAAGCATCCAAGCTGTATCTGATACACTGCTATCTCTTTCGTTCCTCAATCAAAGTAATACACCAAGGATGTGTATATCTAGAGTATGGCTTGATAATCAGCATTAGTGTCTTTTGAAATGATAAATAGTACTTTGTTTCTCTTACAAATATAAACTTGAGGTAGTAGTAAGCAATATAAAAAGGACATAAGTTCCATGCATGCAAGGGCTTTGCTACAACAGTGTAAATGTGTCTGAAATAACCACTCCTTTAGCATTAAAGTTACAATTAGTATAACCTTGAACTAGAGAACTAAAGAAGGATATAAAAAAGGCCAACATGTCTAAATGATTATTTCAATTGTTTCACAATAAATGCACTCAAAGATAAAATAGTAATTTGACTGTAGCATCTTTAAAACTATTTTGGTGCAGCGGCTGCAGCCTGTCTTTATCAGTACTGCTGCCTGAGAATCCAAAACAAATTATTTTTTAAATAAATGCTGCACATAGGCTTCACAGGACGTATTGATGTCAAATCACTTATACATGTATAACCTGGGTGTTTTGGGGTGTTCTTACCTCAAAGCTCTCTTCTGTAGCAATCTGGGGTTGCTCAGTTTAATTGGGGTCTCACTCCCAAGTCCTGTGAACAGAAGAAAAAGAGTGTAACATTTAGTTATGTCCCAATGCTCATTCACTTGAACAGCATAACGTTCAGTTTTAGCTTTTAATTAACCGACACACATCTTTCCAAGGTGAACCTGACTGTCGGTCTGCAGCTTCTTGGCACACAAGCGCATTCATTAGGTGGACTTCCACAGAGAATCAGGTGATGTGGAAAACAATAATCTGCCTGCCTGACTGAATCCCATCAAATACTAAGTGATCTGTGTAGTTAAAAGCCACCTCAAGAAATGGCGACAAATCATCAGACATCCGGAGACAGTGACTGTCTCCATGTTAAGTATCACTATATGTGCTGCGCATGAGGTCATATCTTAAGGGGTTTGATGGAGGAGTGACTGCGTGTGTGTCACTGAGACAGGCGCTGTAAAGTCTGATCGCACGTCAAGGTTGCAGTGCAGCTGGGACAAAGCCAGGAGGAGCGTCGCACATCAATGTCACTGGGCAGCACTTTCTAACCGTCATGAATACAGATGGGGACAGCATGATGAGACAGAAAAAACAGACTTTCCCTAAATCTTACAAACACACTATTTTGGATTAAACTATTAGACATACTGTACAAGAGTAAACAACCTATCCCTATAAAGTCTGGTGTCTATTAGTAACATAGTAAACAAGCTCAACATGTAACATAAACACCTGCCTACAAAGAAATAAAGCCTCATTACCAAGAAAGAAGGGAATTAGTGAGTAGCATCATAAACAGTTCTGTAAGGAATGCCAGTTGTGTGGAACATCCCATTAACGAATGTCTGCTTCAGTTATTCACTCCAAACCTCAACCGTGTGGTTTTGGCTGCCCTCGGACCTCAGAGTGGCCAGATCTGCGCTGTTTTGGGACAAACATGTGGTCCCACTTCCACCCCATGCGAGTTCACCTCAGGGCCGCCTACCGCCCGACACCCCCCACCCAAACCCCTAACCTCTCCCCTGAGGACGCACACCCCTAACCCCCCCATTCCAGATCTGTTCTTCTTTATGAAGGATGTTTGGGTTGATGCTTTGAATACCTCCTACTTAAGCAAAACATAATTTGAGAAGAAGGAAGGCTTACTTGGAGAGGGCGGTGTGCCTGGATTGTATCAGCTGGGTGGAAGATGACGAGTGAAAACACAACAACTCATTCCTTACAAGCCTTGAATGATAATCCTGGTTATATGAGCCACTTGTGTTTCTTTTGACAATGATCCAAAGATTAGGTTGACAACACTATTTCAAAGTGCAAAACAAACAGCAAGATAAATCCTGAACACACACTTTGCTGGGCTAAATAAGCCAGTAAAAGAAGTGTTGAATAACTGCCTATGTGTTAACAACATATGTAGATCAATTTATTTGTCTGTAAATGTAGCCTAGGCATGCTATGTATTGTTTTTTAGAACACACACTGTATGATATGTCCTGAGTTGTAAATAGATTGTGCAAGTTCAGAATTTTGGAGCTTGCAGAGTGACAAGGCTCGAGAAAGGTCTGGAAGCAGCAAATGTTCAATCTGGTATACAGTAGGTAGGGTCAGGAAATATATCGGTATTATGATGGTACCGTATTATAAAATTAAACATATCATAGGGGGAAAAGTATACCAGCGTGTTTTAATTTCTTTAAAGTTTCAACAATCACAATCATAGTTCTATTTCGTCCCTACTGACCGCCAGAGGCGGTGCTTTAAGCACTGGATATGTCCATCACGCGCATGCGCAGCTCGAGTACCAATAACAACAAAGTCACCTGTGACCAGGGGCGGCGCCAGGGGGGAGCTAGGGGGTGCTGAAGCACCCCCCAGGATTGCCAAAGCACCCCCTAAGCACCCCCGAGAAATATGTGTTTGTTTGTTTTTTTCGAAAATTATTATTATTATTAAATTAAATTAGAAATATTATTGATTACATCAATGCATATGTGAAACAAACACATTTTTGACCAAAAACATAAAGCCAACACAGGTGATATGATTAGGCCAATGGTCAGCACCCATTCGATTTTTGACCTACCCATAGGCTAAATTACTTTGTGACACTTGATTGACTTCCTGTTAGCTAGAGCGCCAAATGATTTGCTAACAGCAAAGTGAAAAATTGATCGTTTTTTAGTCCTTAAACGACCACGTGTGGACACTCAATCAAAACCAACTGAAAGCGAGAGGGATTCTGCACATAATAGGCCTCGTGAGTACAAGTAGCTTACTTCTGGGTCTCTGTGTTTCATTCAAGCCCTGCTCTGTGTGTGTGTGTGTGTGTGTGTGTGTGTGTGTGTGTGTGTGTGTGTGGCACGAGCCATTTTGTGTGCGTGCGTGCGCGAGCGAGCGAGAGAGCTCGCCTCGCGCACCAGTGGGTATCTACCGGAGATCGTTGTGGTTAGCATCTGGTGCTAGCTAGCCAAGCTAATGGATATAAGGAGCTTTTTCAACAACAAGGTGGAGGGAGAACTCTCTCCTGTCAGACGGAGAGTCTCAGGTAACCTCAACTCAGGTGAAGTAAAGGACTCTCTCAGTGTTTAGATAGTTAACTTTAGTCTAGTTATCTCAGTGGGTCTCAAACGGTTTGTTTTAAAAGGGGAGTGATTTGTAAAATATCTATAAAGAAATAGAAAATCTGTTGACAGTTCTGTTTCGTATGGGTGTTTAGATGTATCCATAGATCTCTTAATGTTGCTCTCAAAGTGCACCAGATTGATGCTTTTAACTTAAATATGCAACAAAAAATCTTCCCGGGGGAGCTAGCCCCCGGACCCCCCTAGAGGAGGTGAGGACCCTCCTAGAGGAGGTGAGGTCCGCTCCCCACTTGTAAAAATAGCACTTTACCCCTGCCTATATGCCGTGAGCTGATTATCGAGCCTTCATTGTAACAGTCGCGGGTGCACTGTGTGTGTGTGCGTGGGGAGTGTTGCAGTAGAAAATTCAACTGTAGCGCTGGTGCATTAATGGGAAACCCTAAATGTTTGAGCACCCTCTATGTAACGTCAAGCTACCCCACAGCACCCCCTAGAGAAAATCTCTGGCGCCGCCACTGCCTGTGACCCACGTGACACCGGCTATATCAGCCGGTGTTGTCAGAGGATCTGTTCCTTTTCATCTTCTCACTGCGCGAGGGTACCGTGGCTACTTTTTTTTAGGCTACAGCGTTCAGGTTTGAACGTTTGATCTGAGGGATTTCTCTGCAAGCAGCTGGCCGCGTGCAGCTTCGTGACTGACAGTCGGAGCTACGGGTCGTTAACGCGTCCTCCAGGAGCTGTGGCCGGCTGTGCAGAGCCTCGACAGACCGGTTGGTGTCAGCTTGTTGCTGGTGATGGCTGTGTCCCCGCACCCTCTCCCAGCCAAGTTGTCCTGATTGCTGTCTTATTTTTTGTTTGGCTTGGACTTTCTGGTGACGACAGTGTTCCCGCTTCCTCTCCCATAAAGTTGCCCTTATGCTCTTTTGAAAGTTCTGCTTGTGGCGTTGTGCCCGAGCTATCATTAGCATTTGAGTCCCAGCTTTGGCCTGTCCCTCATTCAATTTAGTATGGAAAGCCCAGAGTGTCATATTTTAAACCCGTTTTTCGTTTAGATGGAGAGTAAGGTAAGTACTTTCTATTTCTTAGAAGCTATTATCTGGTCTTAACATTTGTGTTCTGACTTGGTCGCTTGATTGTTAGCAGCAGCTGCTTGACTAACACCTTGCTGTTGAGCTTAAGCTCAGCCGGTGAGGGCAGTGCTCCCGCTCCCGGTAACATAGGGTTTGATTGCAGTAGCGCTAGATCGTTGTATTACTGCTCCTAGTACTAGACTCCTAGCACTAGGATGATATGCAGAGAACATCTTCACTGCGGGTGCTGTGTGCTCCGCATGTGCGGTTACTACTGTAACCATGGCCTACGGTTCTATGCGGGCTGTTCTCTTTCTTAGAAGCTAATTATCTGGTCTTAACATTGTGTTCTGACTTGGTTGCTTGATTGTTAGCAGCAGCCGCTTGGCTAACACCTTGCATGTACTGTTAAGCTTCATTATTTAACTCAGCCGGTGAGGGCAGTGCTCTCGCTCCCGGTAAACGCATGGTATGGTTGCAGTAGCGCTATATCGTTGTATTTTCTGCTCCTAGTATAGTACTAGACTCCTAGCACTAGGACGATATGCAGAGAACAATCTTCACTGTGTGTGCTGTGTGCATGTGTGGCCATTAAGGAGGATTTCATCCTCCCAATATTATATTATCTAGTGGGCAGCCGTTTGGCTGACACTTTTAGGCACCGACCACAGTTACTACTGTAACTAAGGTTCTAAGCCGTAAGTACTGGCCATAATTACTACTGTAACTACGGTTCCAAGCCGTGTAAGTACTGGCCATAGTCAATACCGTAACTACGGCTCTATGCTGTGTAAGTACTGGCCATAGTTACTACTGTAACTACGGTTTTAAGCCGTAAGTACTGGCCATAGTTACTACTGTAACTACGGTTCCAAGCCGTGCAAGTACTGGCCATAGTTAATACCGTAAACGGCTCTATGCTGTGTAAGTACTGGTCATAGTTACTACGGTTCCAAGCCATGTAAGTACTGGCCATAGTTACTACTATAACTACGGTTCCAAGCCGTGCAAGTACTGGCCAGAGTTACTACTGTAACTACAGCTCTATGCTGTGTAAGTTCTGGCCATAGTTACGACTGTAACTACGATTCTAAGCCGTGTAAGTACTGGCCATAGTTACTACTGTAACTACGGTTATATGCCGTGTGAGCACTGGCCATGGTTACTGCTGTAACTACGGGTCTGTGCTGTTCTCTTCTTTAGAAGCTAGTTATCTGGTCTTAAACACGTGTGTTATTTGACTTGATCTCGCTTGATCGTTAGCAGCAGCTGCTCGGCTAACGTCTTGCGTGTACTGTTAAGCTTCTTTATTTTACCCTGCTAGGTGAAGGCAGTGGTCTCGCTCCCGCTCCCTCTACCGGTAATGCGGATGTAGCTACATCCCTTTTTCTGTTCGG